ATTTTAGTTAATAATGAAATATTAAATGGTTATTTATTCTGAACACATCGTATTGAATTTTTGTAAAAAAAATTCTACTCCAAAATAATTCAAAATATTTAATGGGGGCTCCAGCCCCCCTAAAATAGGCCTAGTGATGCCACTGGTGGTCCCGCTGCTCAGCATGAGGCGGGCCCTGCAGGGTTCTGAAACACTCACCATGGTTGTTGTTGGTGGTGCTGGTCCGGTCCTGCTGGGCCTCTGCAGGTTTCTCCTGCAGCTCCACCTCCTGCAGATGGATGGCGCTCACCAGCTCAGTCTTCATGGAGTCCATCGTCCTGAAACCAGAGACCRGTTTGTCCCAGTTCATGGAAACACAGTGGAGGTGGTCCGGCAGCTTTTAGAGCYTTTCAAGGATTCTGTGGTTTCAGGTTCACCTCCTCCACAGAAACCAGCAGAAACCTGGTCCTTTAAAACAGACGTTCTCAAACTCGGGTCCCTGGACCCCCAGGGGTCCGCGAGAGGTATCTTGGGGGTCCTCAAATTTTTTTTAAATGTTAATTTGGTTTTTATTTTTTAAAATGCATGGAGAACAATTAACTAATTAAAAAACACAATAAACTTAGTAAAAATATACATTCCCATGACATTTAGGGGTTGAAAGGACAATAAATTATCTTTTAAACAGGATTTGGTTTATGGGGGGTCCTGGGATTTTATTTCCCTGTAAGGGGTCCTCAGACCCAAAYGGCTCGAGAAGCCCTGCTTTAAAAAGTCTGTTGGTTTGGACCTGGTTTAATTGTGTAAAAGGTTTGATTGACAGCTCAGATCCTGAGCTTGTCTTGTTTCAGCTGTTCTGACGTCACAGATGACGTTTGTCTCTGGGGTTAAAAGTTACCTGTTCAGGTAATGTTTACACACAAAGTGCAGTTTGTTGAGCTGCAGCTGCTCAGTCCTTCAGGTTCTGCTTCAATCAGAACCTTGGTTCTGATCTGAACTCAAACACAATCTAAAGGGTTRAACAGGAAACAGAACCTCGGACACAGATTTAGTTTTTGTTCCTCAGAAAGGTTCTGTTAAGGCTCAGGTGGACCCTGCAGGTCCTGGTCCTGGTCCTGGTTCTGGTTCTGCTCTGGGAACTGGACCCAGACCCACAGGTGTTTCTGTCCCGGTTTGAAGACGGACACCTCGGTGAATCACGACGCTCCGCGCGCCAACACCAGCTTCCTGTTCAACACCTGAACAGAACCGAACCGAGCCGACCTGAGCCGAACTTCAGCCGGTTTAAAAGCCGAGTTAAACTCACCCTGATGTTGGARTTTCACCTGCTCCTTCGGTCTGTTTTCATCCCTCAGGAACTCCGCAGGTACACTGACTCACCTGTTCAGGTGGATCCGGAAGTATCACAGCGGAACCGATGGGAGAGGGGCGGAGCTTCCGTCTGAGGAGGCAGCTCGACCACAAACACCTGAGGCCGCTTTCAGAAAACAGGACCAGTGAAATCCTGAGTGAGTCCTGAGATAAGTCTGTACAGATCCGGACTTAAGTTAACTCCACACCTGTGAGGNGTTATTAGCTTCATTTTCAAATTTAACAAAAAAAACTAGATAAAAAAGTAGTAGCTTTTATTATTGGCTGTAACAGAAGGAAACCCCCAGCATGATCTGTGAACTCCATCTCCCAGCATGCCTTGCCGCTGCGCATGCGCAGTAGCAGCAGAGAGGATGGGGCGCAGTGGGACGCAGCGTTGCGTTCTGACGGGGTTTCTGCTGGTTTTCTGCCCCAGTTTGTCCTCTTCTCTGTTTCTAACCGTCCCTGAAGGTCAACAAACATGTTTTATACAACAAATGCCAGAAAAAATCAAACTTATCGGTGAGTTTTATCTCGAAATAAGCGGCGGGAAAAGTTTAACTCTCAGAGGAAAAAAAGCTAAATTTAAACTTCCGGTTTTAAAAAAAGTTTATCCCAAAAAAAAACTGATAATGGATAAAATTACGTATTTTATTGTAAACAAACTGTTGGAAGTTTTTCGAGATAAGAAAGTAAGAGTAGAGAAGAAGTTGTTTTTATTATATTAACTTTATTTAAATATTTAACGTGAAATAAACTAATATAATTTATTTATAGCAGCTGCTGTAATTATCAGCCTCAGCTGAGGTCAAAGGCCACATTTTTCCCCACACTGATAGAAACAGTTTGTAGGTCAGAGGTCATGGCTCCACAGGGTCTGACCTGTGACTTCATTTAATTACTGCTGGAATAAATAAGGAAGCAGAGACACAAAGACTCTGATCTGACTCAGTAGGTCTCAGCAGGACTCAGGAGGTCTCAGCAGGTCTCAGCAGGTCTCAGGAGGTCTCAGGTGGTCTCAGCAGGTCTCAGGAGGTCTCAGGAGGTCTCAGCAGGTCTCAGGAGGTCTCAGGAGGTCTCAGCAGGACTCAGCAGGTCTCAGCAGGTCTCAGGAGGTCTCAGGTGGTCTCAGGAGGTCTCAGCAGGACTCAGCAGGACTCAGCAGGTCTCAGCAGGTCTCAGCAGGTCTCAGCAGGTCTCAGGAGGTCTCAGCAGGACTCAGCAGGACTCAGCAGGTCTCAGCAGGTCTCAGCAGGTCTCAGGAGGTCTCAGCAGGACTCAGCAGGACTCAGCAGGTCTCAGCAGGTCTCAGGTGGTCTCAGGAGGTCTCAGCAGGACTCAGGAGGTCTCAGCTTAAACCTGACAGGAGATCTAACAAAAACAGTTTCTGGGTTCAGATGAAGAGAAAAGTCTTCAGTCGGTTCTGTTTCTGTCTCTGCAGGTGAGTTCTGGACTCAGCTGTTTGATGGACAGGACCAGTACCTGCCCCCCCCTCTGGACCTCCACGTGTCTGTGGTCGTCACAGATCCTGAGAACAGGGTAGGAAGAACTGAATCTGTTCCAGAGTTCTCATCAGAACCTCAGGGTTTATTGTGGTTCTGGTTCTGTTTCCTCCAGCTGGTGCTGTCCCTGCAGGACAGACCCAACAGAACGTTCAGCTTCATGTCCTCTGCCTCAGGAGAACATCGGGTCTGTCTGCAGCCGGGCTCCTCAGCGCCGCCGCCGCAGTCTGCAGGGCGCATGTTGGTGAGAGGAAGTGATGTCGTTTGTTTTACCAGGAACAAAAATATATTTTATTATATTTATTGTTGTTATTAAAGTAAACCAAACCACACAGGAGGAAGTATGGATGCTACATGTTAGCATGTTAGCATGTGTGGATC